AGGTAAAGCTTCCAGGTGACACATGAGGTAAAGCTTCCAGGTGACACATGAGGTAAAGCTTCCAGGTGACACATGAGGTAAAGCTTCAGGTGAGTACACAGACACAGAGGTAAAGCTTCCAGGTGACACATGAGGTAAAGCTTCCAGGTGACACATGAGGTAAAGCTTCCAGGTGACACATGAGGTAAAGCTTCCAGGTGACACATGAGGTAAAGCTTCCAGGTGACACATGAGGTAAAGCTTCCAGGTGACACATCAGGTAAAGTCTCCACGTGACATGACAATATCATCTCCCGTCAAACTCCGCCCAACCACTTGGACTGGACGGTAGAACGACGGTCTCGCTTCATACAGGTCGAAGTTCAATCCCCGACCGTCCAAGTGGTTGGGCACCATTCCTTCCCTCCGTCCCACCCCAAATCCTTATCCTGACCCCTACCCAGTGCTATATAGTCGTAATGGCTTGGTGCTTTCTCTTCATAATTCCCCTTCCCGCCAAACTTCATTAAGTAAAATGTGTAAGTGAGACAAATTACAGCCGTTACAGCTGCCTCAATACTGTAACTGTACCTGTAATCAACATTCGTCTATAACTTGCTTTACAAGAATACAGTATAATTCAGTCAACTTATTTTTTAGCACTATGAAATTCTTCATTACATACTAACGTATGTAATCAAACTACGTCATAAACACTGTAACTTGAATATTTGGATTACGTTACAGGGATGGGTGGGATTTTGTAGGGAATACAGTGTAACTACTTCATCGCTGTAACGTTGCAACCCGTTCTCGCACTTGCTTATAGTCAATATTGGCTTATTTAATAAGTGCATATGTGACATACTAATTGATTGTGAATATTTTAGTTTACCTTGAAAAGCTTCATAGAAAACACCGACCTCACCTAACCTTCTTAGTATGTTAAGATAAGCATCTTATGTTTCTTATTTACAATTATTACTTAACCTACGGGTTGCCTTGCTTCGTTACAAGAACTATGGGGGTCTTGATCATGAAGCCACCTCACGATCAAGCAACAGCCTGGTGGACCAAACTCTCACAAGTCAAGCCTGGCCTTGGGCCGGGCTTGGGGAGTAGGAGAACTCCCAGAACCCCATCAACCAGGTATTATGTAATTGTAACCTCTCCGTCATTACTGCTTTTTCGAGCATTGCTACGTGCTAAACACCGCCCCAGGCCTCGGCCTCACCTCGTGTAACCTACTCCAGCAGGTGGAGCTGATGGTGGACCTGTGCTCGGGCGCCAGCATCGAAGACCCGCATGCGGCCACCCTCGATCTCCCAACCCAGCCGTCTCCGCCCGAAGCCCACACCTGTCGCTCGGTCTCCACCCTCCCCGGAGCGGCCCGGGTCCTCAACACAGGTGGGCCGCTGCAGGTAGGCGGAGTGGCCCACCTACACAACCACCCGTCACCCCTACACCCGCCACACCTGCACGGTTGTATCAGGAACCTCAGAGTCAACGGTGAGGTGAGATATTCTATATTGATGGACTGGCGTAGTTATAGCTACATTTTCTCAGATATCATCCGTTTTCTCTCATCGATTCTCGGATATTATCCGCCTGTTTCCCGTTCTCTTCAAGGCCACTAGAGAGATAGTTGTCCTCAGGTAAATTCAGGCTATATACTCTGAGAGGTGTACCCCCTCAGTGTAACTTAAGTATACCATAGAGTATACTTAAGGTAGTAAGATTACGCACATACTCAGTTACTTTAACTTCTGAATGCCATTATAACTCCGAAAGCATAGATTTTTTTTTATTAACAATAATCTCACTGTAATTTGATCACAGTAACCTCACAATGGTCATTAAACAGGAGCTATGATCATAAAAATGAATGTTCCCCATCTCGATCTGAAATTATATATATAGAGTCCATCCAGTTATGGAAAAGCGGGTTACAGTCAGTTACAGCACTCCATTACATACGTACGAACAAATAAACAATTAAGTGTGATTGTACCCACCTGTTCGGATATTGGCCAATCTTTATAACCAATTGTGCGGGAGCCAATCAGAATATCTCACAATATCTATTGATTTGGGCGTTGAATCCTTGTTACTGACGTCCAGGTGAGATAGCAATGATTGTTGGACTTGCCGTTAAGGCCGACGTAATTGTTGCCAAAAGCCCGGATTAACCAAGTTTTAATCCATTGGTCCATATATGTAGTGTGTGATTTATTTATTTGATAGTGTTATTTGATATGATAATTGACTAAGAGTTGATTAATTGACTAGTTTAAGTGATTGATTAATTGATTATTCGTCAGCTGGTTGATCTTGGAGGAGGAGTGCTTAGTCAGGGCAGCGCCCCTGGGTGTTTGGAGGCTGATTGTACCTCCAGTGGCCTCCACTGTGGCCTCCATGGTAGGTGAGTGTTATCACATGGCTACTAAGCTGTGTTCAGATGTTGTATGTGTGAGGGATATCTCTCTCTCCCTCTCTCTCTCTCTCTCTCTCCTCTCTATCTCTCTCTCTCTCTCTCTCTTCTATCTCTCTCTCTCTTCTCTCTCTCTCTCTCTCTCCCTCTCTCTCTCTCTCTCTCTCTCTCTCTCTCTTCTCTCTCTCTCTCTCTCTCTCGCTCTCTTCTCTCTCTCTTCTCTCTCTATCTCTCTATATCTCTCTCTCTCTGTCTCTCTCTCTCTGTCTCTCTCTCTCTCTCTCTCTCTCTCTCTCTCGGTCTCTCTCTCTCTGTCTCTCTCTCTCTGTCTCTCTCTCTCTCTCTCTCTGTCTCTCTCTCTCTTTCTCTCTCTCTCACTCTCTCTTCTCTCTCTCTCTCTCTCTCTCTCTCTCTCTCTCTCTCTCTCTCTCTCTCTCTCTCTCTCTCTCTCTCTCTCTCTCTCTCTCTCTCTCTCTCTCTCTCAAATGTATTATAAATACTGAAGCTGAGACTGGTATAGTAACCTTGCGGAAAAGCCAAGGCTAACAACATAATTGGCTCATTAGAGGGTGTTCCCGGCAGGTGCCATGGGTCGCCGGGGTCGTTACGGTGTGAGTGCCAACTAGGGTGGGCGGGGGCAGGGTGTGGCACGCCCACCACGCCCACAACCTTCCTCCTCAACAGTTACGTCAAGCTGGCTCTCTCTTTCACCCCTCTGGCCTACACCACCGCCGTCTCCCTCAGGTGAGGCCCTCTTCTTTGTGGCTAGTTAAGATGTTGTGATTATACGTCTCTCTCTCTCTCTCTCTCTCTCTCTCTCTCTCTCTCTCTCTCTCTCTCTCTCTCTCTCTCTCTCTCTCTCTCTCTCTCTCTCACCACCTAACTCTTCAGCTGGTTACAGAGTGCGGACGCGGAGGAGGAGCGGCCAGCTGGTGATGCTGTCGTCCCAACATGGACGGGACAGCTGGTCCCTGCAGCTGGTGGAGGGCCGCGTGTGTGTCATTCTCAAGCAGCTGGTCCAGACTCAACCAGCTGCGGCCTCTACCCAGCTGTGCCTCTCCAAAGCCTCCCTCACCGACGGTCGCTGGCACTCTCTCACCGCTGTCAGGTAGGCCTATACTGCTCTGCTCAAGAAACTGGCTCCTGGTGTGAGGTAGGCCTATACTGCTCTGCTCAAGAAACTGGCTCCTGGTGTCAGGTAGGCCTATACTGCTCTGCTCAAGAAACTGGCTCCTGGTGTCAGGTAGGCCTATACTGCTCTGCTCAAGAAACTGGCTCTTGGTGTGAAGTAGGCCTACGTTCCTGCTAGAGAGACACTGGTATTTCACTTAGTGTTCTAAATCATTTATGACCTTAAATTATTCCCGTAAACTCTGTGAAAGTGAGGCCTGTTCTCTGCTTAATTGATCTTGATTGTACTAAATTACTTGGTGCCAGGGAAGTTCAGAGGAGACCAGGGAAGATCAGGGGAGATCAGGGGAGACCAGGGGAGATCAGGGGAGACCAGGGGAGATCAGGGGAGATCAGGGGAGACCAGGGGAGACCAGGGGAGATCAGGGGAGATCAGGGGAGACCAGGGAAGATCAGGGGAGATCAGGGGAGATCAGGGGAGACCAGGGGAGATCAGGGGAGACCAGGGAAGATCAGGGGAGATCAGGGAAGATCAGGGGAGACCAGGGGAGATCAGGGGAGATCAGGGAAGATCAGGGGAGACCAGGGAAGATCAGGGGAGATCAGGGGAGATCAGGGAAGATCAGGGGAGATCAGGGAAGATCAGGGGAGACCAGGGAAGATCAGGGGAGATCAGGGGAGACCAGGGAAGATCAGGGGAGATCAGGGGAGACCGAGGAAGGAGGCAGGTAACTGTATGAGAAAACAAACAAACAAACAAACACACCAACTAAAGCTCCATCAACATAAAACAAAACAAACGCGTCACTTTTGCAACGATTCCTAACAAATAAAATCAGATTTGTTCTCCTTTCTTTCTTTAAACGACACATTTGATCACTTACTATCACCCATTAATTGAGTGCTGACATGTACCCTACCTAGTCTGTTTTGACATGCCCCTCCCCCCCCCCCCCTGTGATCCCTCAGACTGTTGTTATTCGAGCCAATTAACTTCGATTACAATACATCATCTACAGGTCTTAACAAAACACCTGTACTGGTCAGTGTCAGGTGTTTAGTTTGACATGTGTGATGTACCTTCTCTGCCAGCCACCCTGCACCCTAGTTACCTCCGTCTCCCTATCACCCTTTATCATAGTACTCCCTTCCCCCCCTTCACACTAATACCTCCATGGTCCCTTACCCTTTATATATACCCTCCCATGCTATCTTGCACTCCTAATATATATCCCCTTGTGACCCTTCACCCTAATAACCCCCTTTTTTCACCCTAATAGTCCACACCTGCCTCTCCCTTCTGACAATTTTAGGGGGCGCCAGGAACAGAAAATATGAGGCGGGACCAAAGAGCCGAAGCTCAACCCCCGCAAGCACAACTGGATGGGTAGGGACCTTGTTGCTGTCACACATATATGGGAGTAGGGTCTAAGACCTGAGAAAAGTATGTACTCCTCAACGTCATCGCTACTCTGACGTCACTGTGACGTCATAGTTCCAACCATTTTTTTGGAGGCTTGCTCAACCAATCACAAGACAGCTTTCATGCATAGTGTGCGATTATTGGCTGAAATAAGTCCACAAGAGCCACTGTACAGTGCTTCCAACATCACAAAGGCGACACCCGTGACGTCATAAATCTAAACACACATCATTAGTCTTTAATAAAGGTAAATATATGCATGCAAGTTCATTTGCATACTGAATTAACAGTAAAGAATTTAAGGTGTACTTTGAGGATCTCGTATGCAAATTTAAACAGCATAAGGAAATAATTATAGTACTGTGTGGCAGTTATGACTGTGTGTATTGCTGGATGGATCTATTCTACTGTATGTGTCGCTAGATGTATATATATATATATATCACTGTATGTGTCGTTAGATGACTCTTGACGCGATATGTGTCGCGCAATAGACACGACACATATCGATATGTGTCGCGCGATGGACGTATATACGCCTGTTTAAGTCGCGCGATAGACCTATACATTTATCTCCTCTATGTAAACCTAATCCATCTTTCTGTCTTCTGGCGTTAGCGTGAGACAGTATACTGACGGTGTGGTGTCTTCTGCAGGTACGGCACCGCGACTCTCCTGACGGCGGACGACGGAGACGAGGAGCTGTACAACGCCTCCTTGGTGCTGGGTGGTGGTCGGCTCCTGCAGGTGGACAAGCAGGAAGGTGTTCACGTCGGTGGCTCTCCGGAGTTTGTCGATGTTAGCGTCTTCAGGGTCCACAGTGACTACTTCGATGGTAAGGGCGTGTTAACTTGTGGAGTGGTAGGCTTACACACACACACACACACACACACACACACACACACACACACACACACACACACACACACACACACACACACACACACACACACACACACACACACACACACACACACACACACACACACACACGAACAGAGATATTAGAAAGAACTTTTTTAGTGTCAGAGTGGTTGACAAATGGAATGCATTAGGCAGTGATCGTCAGCATCCTTGATGCTGGTTAAGGCAGCGTCTGGGATGCTCTCGGATGTAGGTTCGAATCCTCGTCACGACCCTTGTGGATTTGTTCATTTGATACATCACGCTATTGTGAGTTCTGTGTGTACCATAACTTGTTTGTTGTCTTTACCTCAGGATGCATCGACGATCTCCGGATCTCTGGGCGAAGGATGCCGCTGCCTCCCGCAGTCAACAGCACGGCGTGGGGCCAAGCCAGCGTCTTCAAGGGCGTGGAACGAGGGTGTGGAGCGCCTTCAACCTGCACCAACGTCTCCTGCAGGGCTCCCTTCGCCTGCGTCGACACCTGGAGATCCTACCATTGTGGGTGTGTATGCGAACCTCTCCTGTATGTGGGAGCTTCTCTACAACTCCCACATACTCCTACACACAGCTTCTACAGTTTGACCTTAAAAATATTCCTCTATATGTGCTCTCCTATTCTAAACTTGTATCTACATCTCCTCAAGAAAGTTCACATCTTAGACAGCTGTTTCTAAGTTCCATGTACCGAGATGTTCTTCTCCTCAGGTGCGGCGACGGCAGAGTCCTGGCGGACGAGGGGGACGCTTGTGAGGAACTGGACCAGTGTGTGTGGAGACCCTGCCTCAGTGGTGGCACCTGCCTCAGTACCCACCCAGGTGAGCTGGACCCTGCCTCAGTGGTGGCACCTGTCTCAGTACCCACCCAGGTGAGCTGGACCCTGCCTCAGTGGTGGCACCTGTCTCAGTACCCACCCAGGTGAGCTGGACCCTGCCTCAGTAGTGGCACCTGTCTCAGTACCCACCCAGGTGAGCTGGACCCTGCCTCAGTACTCACCCTGGCGCCCCACTCGCCAATAACGGCACTAACCCTGGGGCCGGATTGGGTATTGATATTAGAATTTAAGTTAGCTGGTGATCAAGGGATTAGTATATTGGGTTAGGATTAGTCATAGTATGCGTTTGGTGTTTTGATTAAGGTCTATCAGCCTCTGGAGACTTAAGGTGGTGCCACGTGTTTCCTAACCAAGCAGCAGGTCTAACCAGCAGCAGAGTATACTCAATATATCTTCACCGAGAAGGGGATTGCACCAATCGGTTCAAATACTTTGGATTAGATTGGATTAGAACATAATTATATCATCCTTTAATACTCTCTTGAAGAATAACACTTAGAAAGCCAATGTAATTACATGTATTTATCAGAAGAATGCACTAAGTCAGAATGGGGTATATATAATTAGTAATATCAGTAATTATCACAACAAACAGAAAGAAACGGAAATGTCTTTAGCAAGATAGCATAACCAGATTAGTCATGCGCTAGTATAAGTTATCTCTCAAAGAGAAAATGTTGATGCCGTGTAATGGGATCGAACTTGCGTCCTTGGACGCCTCAGGAACATGCACTACCAACTGATCTATGATGTGCGGGTTCGATCCCACTCTACGGCTTCAGTATTTGTTAATAGATATATCACATTCTTGTGATCAATCTCCATCACAGGTTCGATTGATTGATGAAGATTAAGCCACCCAAGAGGTGGCACGGGCATGAAGAGTCCCGTAAGTGTACATCACGGGATCATAACATAACCATTTATATGGCAGGGTACGTGTGCGCCTGTCCCGGGGGGTACAGTGGGCAGCACTGCCATCTGGCGGACCCTGCTGCCACCTCACTCAAATTGCCTGTAGGCCTACTCGTTACCCTGGTTGTCTTCTGCACCTTTCTCTTTCGTAAGTAAATTGGCATCGTTTGTCTATCAGTTAGAGGGTTTGGTGTTGACCAGACCACACACTAGAAGGTTAAGGAAAGACGACGTTTCGGTCCGTCCTGGACCATTCTCAAGTCGACTTGAGAATGGTCCAGGACGGACCGAAACGTCGTCGTTCCTTAACCTTCTAGTGTGTGGTCTGGTCAACATACTTTAGCCACGTTATTGTGACTCATCGCCTGCAGAGGGTTTGGTGTTTGACTTGTTGTATTATACAAGTTATAATGGATTTCTAAAGCACATTACTAATGATCAATCGATGTTTCAATGCATTATATACATACAAATTTGTAGTGATTGATACATTCTTGCAAAGTGACAAGCATGTATAGCACTTCGATATGCAATTGATTTGTTATGCAATTTGTTATTTTATAAATAACGGATTATTTATACTCGCTTCAGTGTTGATTTGCGCCTTCCTGCTGCACCAGCACCGTCGAGCGGGGCCCCGCAAGGGTGCGGCGTCCTGCGACAAGACCACCACCACTACCACCACTGTAAGCTGTGAGAAGCAGGTGGCGTCGCCGGTCTGTGAACACACGCCCAACCTGTTGCAACTGCAGCTGCTGAAGCCTCCAGGAGCCAATGGCCAGCTGCCCTGGACCAAGAATCCCAACATTGCAGGTGTTGGAAGACGTCTTCCTTACATCCTGCTACTCCATTGTTTTATTCTTCTGTCTCGTAGTCCTCCTCAATAATTAGTGGCATGGCTGGAGGGTAGAAATAGCCTGAGCTACTCTATCTTTCTCGAGTGTATTTAATATCTTAATAAACTTACTTGAACAGTATCATATCGTGCTGCCTATTGTATAGCTGCAATAATTTCTAAGAACTGATATATGAACTGATACCGCTTCAATACTGTAAGCTGAATAACGTAATGTTAAGCTCCATCCCAAAGGTAGAAGAGGCAATATGGTGTGATCTCTGGGTATAGGTGTGATCAAATCATACAACCACCTCGTCTGACTGTCGAAACCATATATATATATGCAGACGAGGAGTCACAATAACGTGGCTGAAATTTGTTGACCAAACCACACACTAGAAAGTGAAGGGACGACGACGTTTCGGTCCGTCCTGGACCATTCTCAATCGACTTGAGAATGGTCCAGGACGGACCGAAACGTAGTCGTCCCTTCACTTTCTAGTTTGTGGTTTGGTCAACATATATATATGTTAGGATGTATTAGCCTAGTTGGGTAGGCTAGGTTGGTTTGGGCTAGGTTAGGCTCGGTTAAGTAAGGTTAGGTAGGTTTTACAATCCGTTAACCAACCGGTCTCGTGTTTGATGTGACTTCTATTCCTAGTACCTCTGCTCACTGTTATTCTCCTCTCCTCCAGATGTAGATGTCCTGCGGGTGGAGGTGTCGTCACCCCCCTGCAGCAGTAGCAGCAGCGGCAGCAGCATAATGCAGGAGCAGGGCAAGGATCACCACCACCATCATCATCACCACCACTATCACCACCATCACCACCAGAGAGGTGTTCCGAATACACCTCCCTCTTCACCATAGCAGCATCACCACCATCAGCAGCGGGGCGTCTTGAACACCTCTCCATTATCCCCACACGAGCAAGGTGCCAGCCACAACAACGAACTGAGACGCGATGGTGCCAGTAGAGGTGTGGATAAAGGAGGGTATATACGGTGTAGGGGGGGGGGAAGGTGCCAACATACCAAAGTGTCTTCATAAATTAGAGTCACTAGGACTAAGGAGTCCTATATATCAGAGCTTAAATGTGAGGGGGATACTCTCACAGTAATATTTGAAGTAATTTTAAGTACATATTAAAATTTGAACTCTAGTTCAGTTTTGCATATATTAAAATCCATGGAAAGACAGAAGGGACAATCAGGGGAAAGCGCCAAGCCATTATGACTATATAGCACTTGGAAGGGGTCAGGGTAAGGATTTGGGGTGGGACGGAGGGGGGGGGGGAAGAAATGTGCAAATCATCATCAGTTTATTTCACCTGATGGCCCTGTTCACCTAGCAAAAAAATAGGTACCTTACAGTTAGACAGGTGCTACGGGCTGCTTCCTGGGGATGTGTGTGTGCATGTGAATGTGTTAAGACATAAATATATGTAGTAGATATGTAAGACAAATATATGTAGTAGATATGTAAAACATAAATATATGTAGTAATATGATAAAAGGAAAATGGGTAGTGAGTCCGTACATTAAACAACTGATGATTAGGAAAATGGGTAGTGAGTCCGTACATTAAACAACTGAGGATTAGGAAAATGGGTAGTGAGTCCGTACATTAAACAACTGATTAGAAAGGCGGAGTCCAAGAGCTAACAGCTCGATCCTGCAAGCACAAATAGTAGGACCCGGGTTTAATCTCCCCCCCCCCACCCCCTCTATACAGAATAGAAACGATTGGGCGCGTTTCGTTTCACTTGATGTCTCTGTTCACCTAGCAATAAATGGTGTACCTGGGAGTTCGCCAACTGTTGTGGGTTGCATCCTGGGGAAGGTCACTTAGATAAGACCAAGTACAGGTTTCCCTGTCCATGGTAGCAGGAAGTATATGGTGTAGCAACTTCCTTCTTCTGTCTTATCTTCTGTCTTCTTCTGTCGTATCTTCTGTCTTCTTCTGTCGTATCTTCTGTCTTCTTCTGTCGTATCTTCTGTCTTCTTCTGTCGTATCTTCTGTCTTCTTCTGTCGTATCTTCTGTCTTCTTCTGTCGTATATTCTGTCTTTTCATCATGTCTTCTGTCGTATCTTCTGTCGTATCTTCTGTCTTCTTCTGTCGTACCTTCCTTCTTCCATAAGAAAGAACAAAAATTAACATTGTATAACAATTGGGTGATGTTGCTGAGGCTTTGATATTATGAATGTCTTTTTTATTTCTTCAGGAGTCTTGAGCGGAGCTGAGCAATACCTGCAGTCCTGACACGCTATTGGCCCAGGCTTTGAGCAAACGGAGGCGTTCCACAGGGCGGAATCCTGACACGCTATTGGTCCAGGCTGTGACCAGTCAGGGGGGCACTCCACAGGGTGGGGGTTCTGATATGCTATTGGTCCAGGCTTCGACCAATCAGAGGGCCCTAAAGAGAGTCCCCTCGACCACGTCCAAAAATGCGTTTGATCCAGTAACCAAAATTCACGTCCTGGAGACGTCCCTCAGCCAATCAGTGATGAATCGGTTGACTGTTAGTAGTCCCTCAGCCAATCAGTGATGAATCGGTTGACTCTTAGTAGTCCCTCAGCCAATCAGTGATTATTAGCAAAATACTTGTATCTTAAGCTATATTGGCTAATCAACAGTGAATCAAAATGACTACCTCCATTTTCATCTAGTCACTCGGAACTGAATGTTCATTCTCCCAATCTAAACGACCAAATGTTCACGAAGTTTGTAAGTGAAGAGTCCCTGTGATGCTGTAATTGTCGTTTTGTTTTTCAAGTGATCATTTACCCTTGCAATTAAGGGAACGTTAAACTTTACAGTTAAGTTTACTAAAGGTAAACAGGTAAAGGTAAAAGTTTACTGAAGGTAAACTAACCCCAGTTGATATTTTTCTTAGAAAAATATTATAAATGATACTTCATTTATTTTGAAAGATACTCCTTTCTGGTAATCAGTTATTGTATATCCATATATTTTTTACCGGCTCTTGAACATACACACAGAATATGTATTTCCTGCTAACACTTAGTGTATACGAGTTTTGTATAGTTTAATTACATGAAAAGTAATGAAACAAAATCCTCAGAGAACATGCTTGAAGCAGTGTAGTGATTGAACCAGCTGTCCTGAGTCACTCCAAACATGCATCTTACCTCTAGGTGCATGTCTGGGGGCGAACCTGGACGCTGGTTCGAATCCCTATAAACATGTGTCCGGGGTGACCCACGATGCGGGTTCGATTCCCTACACTGTTCCAGTGATTTTCTCGTAGATATATATCGCTAGTGTGATTTCCTATATACAGTATTCTATATAGGATCCAAAAAATCCTATATATTTTTCCCAGTGTTTTTGATATACTGTAACTAATACAGTTGATTAATACATTCATTCAACTAAAGATGCTGCATTCATCAATGGAAATGTTATTGAAACATTATTGCACAAAATTTGTTGATGATTTTAGAGGTTTAGGAAATTGTATCTTTATGTATATATGTATGTATACATGTATGAATGGTTGTAGTTATTTCAGCTGAAGGAAAAGTGGGTTTGCTATCGTGCTTCGTTTGGTCAGCGGCGTATAGTAGTAGACAGCTCATCCAGCACGGTAACCAAAAAAAAAGAAAAGCTGTTGTATTTTAGATTTTTTTTTAATTTTAGATTTTTTTGAATTTTAGATCATTTTGAATTTTAGATTTTTTGTTGGTTATCTACGTTGTGTTGGCACTGAGGATATCTTTTTTTTTCCAAAGGCTACTGTAATGCTATAATTTATAGAAACTCTTTGTAAAATATAGTACAGTATTTTTTTACAAATTATATCATTGTTTTATAATTTCATAAAAAGTTGAATTATTTGTCCTCGTCGGCTACATATTTTCTGTGATCCTTCTATTGTTTACCTGTTTGTAAAGAAACATACTTGTGATGCGTATTGTGTATAATATGTAAATTATTGATCGGAATAAAGACTATATATTTACTTGTTTACATATGACATCAGTCTTATCCTCGTACTAGGTGATGCCCACCATTGCTAGGGTGATATTGTTTTTGTTGTTAAAGATTCGCTACCTGGAACAAAAAGTTCCAGGTAGCACGGGCTATGGTGAGCCCGTAGTGGACTTATACCTGGCACAGGAGCGAAGCTGGAACTCTCGTTTTTCAGCAGTTGACTGGTGCTTGCCGGGATGTTGACATCAACAAGGTCCCTACGCGTCCTGTCTCCTACTAGTTTCTCCGCAAATTTGTTTCCATAGATCCCCTACATGACTATAAGGACCCCAGTTAATTATACCCTTTCTTGAACAAATCCACAAGGGCCGTGACGAGGGTTCAAACCTACGTCCGAGAGCATCCTAGACGCTGCCTTAATCAACTGCGATTTGATGCATCACACTATTGTGATTTCTGTGTATACCCTTTCTTCCTTGTTGCTGAAGGTTCTGGAAGAGATGGAGGTCTGTGGTGTTATCTTGAGATGATTTTGGGCTTAGTGTCCCCGCGGCCCGGTCCTCGACCAGGCCTCCATTTTGTTACACACCTCCAGGAAGCAGACCGTAGGAGCTGTCTAACTCCCAGGTACCTATTTACTGCTATGTGAACAGGTACATCAGGGTAAAGGAAACTCTGCCCATTTGTTTCTGCCTCTGCCTCTGCCGAGGATCGAACCCGGAACCTTAGGACTGCGAATCCTGAGTGCTGTCCACTCAGCCGTCAGCCGTGCAGGTGAGTCAGGTTCATCATGTTGGAGGGTGTTTTACACCTGGTGGGGATGTTTTACACCTGCTGGGGATTTATTACACATAGTGGGGATATTTTACACTTGCTGGGGATTTATTACACCTGCTGGGGATGGTTTACTCCTGGTGGGGATGTTTTACGCCTGATAGGGATGTGTAACGTACGATTATGTTACGTTGTTGGGTTGATTAGATACACAGTGTTTAGTGAGTTTCATATTTATTTAGTAGTCCTGGATACAGCAGTGTCGTAGACGTTGAGACGAAGCTTGGAGCAGAGCAGAGAGCCGAGTGTGGCCGGAGTCGTGGAGCTCTATGTGGGAGAGCGTGGCGGCTCGATTGAGAATTGTGAGTGTCGGAACTCGGGGAGCGAGAGCGTGGCGGCTCAATGCGGTCATAGTCTGCTGTCTGCTCTGTGTCGAAGCTGTAGCGTCTTGGGTCGATTAGGACTGTACACGCCGAGTGTTACATTGTTGACTGTGGAAATTGAACTGTCTTCTATTCATCAAATCGTTGCTTATATGGTGATTACACCTCATGCAGCTTCCTCCAACAAGGTGAGAAGAGTATTACCTGTAATTGGGGCAAGGATTGTAGCTTCTGTAATTAGTTATCCTATTAAGATAATGAGATAATGGAGCGAGTATAAGATTAACTCGCTACAGATGTTTTATACCTGGTGGGGGATGTTTTAAACCTAGTGGGGATATTTTACACCTGGTGGGGATGTTTTACACTTGGTGGGGATGTTTTATACCTAGTGGGGATGTTTTACACCTGGTGGGGATGTTTTACACCTGGTGGGGGATGTTTTACACTTGGTGGGGATGTTTTATACCTGGTGGGGATGTTTTACACCTGGTGGGGGATCTTTTACACTTGGTGGGGATGTTTTACACTTGGTGGGGATGTTTTATACCTAGTGGGGATGTTTTACACCTGGTGGGGATGTTTTACACCTGGTGGGGGATGTTTTACACTTGGTGGGGATGTTTTATACCTGGTGGGGATGTTTTACACCTGGTAGGGATGTTTTACACCTAGTGGGGATACTTTACACCTGGTGGGGGATGTTTTACACTTGGTGGGGATGTTTTATACCTGGTGGGGATGTTTTATACCTGGTGGGGATGTTTTATACCTGGTGGGGATGTTTTATACCTGGTGGGGATGTTTTATACCTGGTGGGGATGTTTTATACCTGGTGGGGATGTTTTACGCCTGGTGGGGATGTTTTACACCTGGTGGGGGATGTTTTACACTTGGTGGGGATGTTTTATACCTGGTGGGGATGTTTTACACCTGGTAGGGATGTTTTACACCTAGTGGGGATACTTTACACCTGGTGGGGGATGTTTTACACTTGGTGGGGATGTTTTATACCTGGTGGGGATGTTTTATATCTGGTGGGGATGTTTTATACCTGGTGGGGATGTTTTATACCTGGTGGGGATGTTTTACACCTGGTGGGGGATGTTTTACACCTGGTGGGGATGTTTTACACCTGGTGGGGGATGTTTTACACCTGGTGGGGATGTTTTACACCTGATGGTGTTTAAAGTTCTCGATTAGTGCGGTCATCCACGGTTCATTGTTCTAAAGTTGTTAGGGTTTTATGTGTATGAATACCCACTGGCTGCCTGTCCCCCGACACAACAATGAACTATTATAATTATAAGGTCATTCCAGGCTGCAAGCTATGTGGAAGCGATCACTATCGATCAATCTAATTAGATGTCGCTGGTCGTTAATTATACCTGTAATGTCAAAGGAATGTATCATAGATGTAAAATAACTATGTATGTACTTTCCTGAATAAAATTTACTTTACTTAAATCAATTTAGTGCATATAAAAAAATATGGCAGAGTCCGACTGGTCGGCCATCGATCATAGAAAAATGGGACCGGCTTAGGGGCTACGACTCATATTTGAATTTAATAACAGACCGAATACAAAGTTTATAACGTTTTTAAACACGTTAATTAACTAATGAAAAAAAATGCTAAATGAGATGAGTTACAATTCAGCATGTTAATATTGTTGTTGTTGTTGAGTTAGGGGCGACGACGATCGTGGGAATGTTAATATTGTTTTATCTTCAAAATATGCATTATTTTGAGTGTTGTAGCCCGCCATCCAGTGTTGCTACAAATAGCGAATTGGGCTACTTTTGAGAGCCCCGCGCTCCTAAATTTTTAATTTCGCTACTTTCTACTTTTTGGGCTAATTTAAAAGCAAGATGTGCTAATTTGGGCTATTAATGTTAAGAATGTACGATTGCGAGTTACATGAAAGTAACTAAGCTATAAATAATTGTAATTAATAATAATTTTAAATATTAATTAATACCAAATAATATTATTTAATAAATTAGTCCCAATTCAATGCAGAGTTGTCTTCCAAGCACAGAAACTTGTAAATATAAATACAAGATAATAGATAGATCGATAAATAAATAGACAACTTTCAAATATTGCACCAAGTAATGGCGAGAGGAAAAAACTAGACTATACATATGGATGAATGGTAATAAATTGGTGTATGTTTATATGTATATTAGATTTTAGATCAGATTAGATCAGAATTTAACCATTTTGTGTAAAAACTTTTATATCTCATATTTTTAATTATAACAGTAATCGAAAAAAGTCATAGTTTGTATATACAAGAGATGAAACAACGAGCCATGAGCTGCTAGAGCGATGTGCTGAGTCCATAAGGAGGCCGAGCTTCCAGAGATACCTTCCTGTGATTGGCTGTTGGAGGGAATACCAACACTCTTTTATGAATAAAATTTAAACTAAGAAATAGGTCCTTGTGCACAATAACAAGGTTGTTGTGAAAAAGAACAACAATTTCTGTTTTGCACCTGACAGAAATCTCCATCTAACTGAATAATTTACTCGAATAAGAGGGCAGAGCAGCGTATCATTATTTGTGTGAGGCAACTCCCACTGATGACGTCACAAGTCAGGTAGCCAGCCCATGTTTCTGTAACACTCGTTACATCCTGCAGTATCTAATTATCACTATATTAATACTTTTAAATACTTAACATTTCACTTTTTAGGTGTATTAAAGTTGAAGCAGAATGTTATAAGCAAAGCTGGTGTGCTGAATAAAGATGATTTATTAAGTGGATGGAGCCTTTAGCTGATCCCTTCCTGCGATTGGCTGTTGAGTGAATGTCAACAAAGAGTTTCTACCAATGATATATCATTTATTATGCACCCCCATACCACTTGTGGGCGGAGCTAGGAACCTCCTACCCGAGCCCAACAACCCGCCTTATGGGTTGCTGTTTGGCTATTTATAGTGCGTTGGAAAAAAAAGAGATGGCGCTAGTTGTATTTTGTGGGGTAATTTGTTATAAGTGTAATTTGATGTCAACAGATGGCGTAAGCTGTATCTTATGGCCACTATTGACCTGCCAGTTAATAGTGTTCTCTTCTGCCGACAGATGGCATCAGCTGTATCATTATTACTTCCGAATTCCCTTTAAACACTGATCTACAAATCCCTTGGCTTATGATAAGGTATTATACCATTTATGATAAGTATTAGATAACTGGAGTTCCGCAATTACTTTTATTTATCAACTGTTCAGGATATCATCATATAACGTCTGGTTAGGACGTACTGCTCTCGATTGATGAAGATTAAGCCACCCAAGAGGTGGCACGGGCATGAATAGCCCGTAAATACTGCTCTCGTAATATTATTCAGGGGCGTGGGGGAACTATCAAGTGAAAGCGCCAAGCCATTACGACTATATAGCACTCGAAAGGGATCAGGATACGGATAATGCCGAAAAAAACATTAAAGTCCACTTCAAGTTCAAGTATGTTTATTGAGACAATAAAAAAGACATCTTATAGGGATAGAGCAGCTATGGCTATTTCTACCCCCTCTACTTCAAGTCCCTCAAGGGGTGCACAAAGTCAATGAGTACAAATACACTTATATATATATATATATATATATATATATATATATATATATATATATATATATATATATATATATGTATAATATATATATGCGAACAAGCCTGAATGGTCCCTAGGACTATTATATATATATATATGTGTGAAATTGAAATTGAAATAAGTTTATTGAGGTAAAATACACACAAAGGGATGAGGTAGCTCAAGTTATTCTCACCCCGTTCAGTACATCGTGTTAATACATACATATAAATATATATGTGTGTGTGTGTATGTGTAGAAATAATATTAATATAACCATTAACATCGTGTAGTGTACTCTATATATCAAAATATATTACTTTGAAACCCATATTACAAATTCGCTACTTTTAGCCCGTCAGCTCCGCTACTTTGAGCACTTTAGACCTGGCAACCCTGCCGCCGTCTCCTTGTTTTGAATTTGCGAGCAGCTGAGGTCTTCCTTGAGGAAACTTTAAGGTTCTTCTACCTCTCTCCAAGCTGCGGATTCTAGCTCTTGGGGCCCACCTCTTCAAAGCGGGACCGAGCTTTTCCCAGCACTCAGTGTGTGTGTGTATTTTGTGTAGACATGTCTGAGGAAAGACTGGAGACGTTGGACGTGGGTGCGAGGCTAGGCCTACAGGTGGAGCCTATGGTGGAGGGTACAAAGCTAGGCCTACGGGTGGAGCCTGGGGAGGGGTTGAGGCTCCGAGCGTTGAAGGAGTCCCTCAACCATATCGTGGAGAGGCTCCTTGGAGGCTGGAAGCCTTCCCTGTTCGCAAAGTAAGTTTTGAGTGTGTCTGGAAACACAAACCTAAACCCTCTATTTTCTGCTTGTTACAACTTGTAATAAAGTTGTTACATCTTGGCTTAACGTGTTTATGACGTATTAGAATGTTGTTACAACTTGCTATATTGGTTGTTATAACTGGTTAGGAAGTGTTAAAACTTGTTCGAACATTATACCAACGTCGTAGTTTCGGTGTGTTTTTGGCGGGGTACGACACCCACTCAGTTGATCAAGTGAACATTTACTGTTGTCTTCAGAACTAATGTATTAGATTGGGTTAGGTTAATTATTGTTTAATAATAAAAAATAAAATTCAAGTAATTTTCCCACAATAGATATTAAGCTTGGCCGATAGGTTGACGAAAGTGAACTATCTGCTCTTAAAAATTGAGACCATATTAGCAACCTTCCATGACTTTGAATGACTCTAAAGATTAATTATTGTTTGATCTGGCTTGTGTATGTTACGTACTCACCTAGTTGTGCTTGCGGGGGTTGAGCTCTGGCTCTTTGGTCCCGCCTCTCAACTGTCAATCAACTGATGTACAGGTTCCTGAGCCTACTGGGCTCTATCATATCTACACTTGAAACTGTGTATGGAGTCAGCCTCCACCACAGTGAAGTTAGGTTTGGTGGCACGCAGCCAGTGTACCGCTGCCTGATCTTGGCTATTCTCTGATTTATATTTATATTGTGCCGTGAGAACAGGTAGGCTTACTTGAGAATAGTACTAGCCACTGTTTACATAGAGGATGCATCACTGTTTATCCTAAACAAATATATTCCAATACTACCTAGCCTCGGTAAGATAACTATAGAGAAGGCAATTAGTCATTATGACTATAGCATAATATTATAAACAAGTGTGGTCAAACTAGTGATGCACAGAATATGAGGCAAAGGCCTAAATAGATGTGCCATGTAGACCTAGCTACCTAATGAAATATAACTTGGCATTCTGCTGTGTTTTCACTTATGAAAAAATACCGAAACCTTAAAATTATTTTTATTTTTTAACTTAATGAAATGTAATAAACATACTTATAACGGTGACCCCAAACTGCATACTTTGAGATGCATTGCCAGAAGAGTTGGACTTGCATATACGGAAACCTGCATGCCAGCAATGCTCAAACTCTTTCAGAAATCCCTAGTTGAGGTGAGGGAGTACATGACAGAGCTCAGGCAAGATAACTAAGAAACTTTTATTAACAGCCTCAACTCTCACACCCTCCTCAGCCAGGCTTAGAAGGATATTTAAGGAATTAAAGATGTCAAGATCAGCGAAGTGTCACACCCTCACACACTATACAGAGCAAACGAGTTAGTCGATGCTTGGGCAACCACCTCTAGCTTCAATAGTCTTCCCCCAGACACACAATTTAGATTAAATGCTGGTTACGGTGATCGAGAAAGGCTTGTTGACTTCATGCTCCACAAGGATGATGAATGCAACGTGCCATTTACTGAGTTTGAGTTACTTTCAGCCCTAAACAAAGGTAAAGCCACATCCCCCGGTGAGGATGGTATCACTTATGACATATTGCATTTGCTACATTTAGTACCAGGAAATCCCCTTCTTGAGCTGTATAATATGAGCTATGTTACTGGGAAAGTTCCTATCTCTTGGACCAACAGTATAATCATTCCAGTTTCCAAACCCAATCAAAAGAACGCCTTCTGCCCAATTTCCCTTACTAGCTGCATTTGCAAAGCATTCTAGAGAATGGTCCTAAACCATCCCCTCCATAGAATAAGAACCATGCTATCCCCCCAGATATATGGCTTCATGCATGGAAGGAGTGTGCATTATTGCATCACCACCTTTCTTACCCTGCACACTGAAAAGTCATATACCATCTTCCTAGGTCTTAAGTCTGCCTTTTGATATTGCAAAATGACATGTTATCTTGAATGAGCTTACAAGAATGAATATTGGTGGTTGGCTTCTTTGTTGGATCAGGGGTTACTATCCAACAGGAAGTCATCTGTATTTTTCCAGGGGCGTAGGAGTGTAACAAGACACTTTGAACTAGGCACCCCACAGGGAGGTGCCCTCAGTCCAACCTTATTTATCATTTAATATTTGAATGAATTTGCTGTTAAACTCTGTGCCTAGTAAACCCAACATACACATCATTAGCTATGCTTATGATATAATGAAGTGGCTGTGGCTGTACAAGAATGTAACAACTCTTGTATATATCTCAAAAAAAAAAAAATGATACATACCACTGCGTATGCTAAAGAATCTGCCTTTAAAGGAGAAATTGAGTACAGTATAACCTTGGATTGCGTATAAGCAGCCTTGAACCAAGAACTGCAACAAAACCTTGTAGATCTGAGGCAAAGTGAAATCAACACTAGGAATTCCAGCTATCATACTATCATGCGAGAAGAGCCACACATTAATTTACAGGGAGCTGGTGGCTGACTGGACAGTGCTCTAGAATCGTGGACCTAGGGACCGAGGTTCAAACCCCGGCGCCGGCAGAAAACAAATGGGCAGTTTCCTTCACCCTGATGCTCCTGTTACCTAGCAGTAAATAGGTACCTGGGAGTTAGACAGCTGCTACAGGCTGCTTCCTGGGGGTATGTGTGTGTGAGAAAAAAATTAGTAGTTAGTAACAGTTGGTTGACATTTGAGAGGCGGGGCTGAAAAAGCAGAGCTCAACCCCCGCAAGCACAACTAGGTAATTACCTAAGTGTAGTTACAGGATGAGAGCTACGCTCGTGGTGTCCTGTCTCCCTAGCACTCTTTGTCATATAACGCTTTGAAATTACTGACGGTTTAGGCCTCCACCACCTTATCACCTAACTTGTTCCAACCGTCTACCACTCTGTTTACAAAAGTGAATTTTCTTATATTTCTCTGGCAGCTTTGTTTCGTTAGTTTAAAATCTATGACCTCTTGTTCTTGAAGTTCCGGGTCTCGGGAATTCTTCCCTATCAATTTTATCGATTCCTGTTACTATTTTGAATGTAGTGATCATATCGCCTCTTCTATCTTCTAGTTTTTGCATATTTAATGTCTCTCCTTGTAGCTCTTGTCCTTCAGTTCTGGGAGCCACTTAGTGGCATGTCATTGCACCTTTTCCAGTTTGTTGATGTGCTTCTTAAGATATGGGCACCATACAACCACTGCATATTCCAGCTTTGGTTTAACAAAAATAGTAAACAATTTCTTTAGTATTTCTCCATCCATGAATTTAAAAGCAATTCTGAAGTTAGAAAGTGTAGCATAGGCTCCTCACACAATGTTCTTAATGTGGTCCTCAGGTGACAGTTTTCTATCTAGAACCACCCCTAGATCCCTTTCTTTGTCAGAATTCTTTAAAGATTTCTTACATAATTTATAGGTTATGTGGGGTCTATGTTCTCCAATTCCACATTCCATAACATGGCATTTATTCACAATAAATTCCATTTGCCAAGTGTTGCTCCATATACTTATTTTGTCCAAGTCTTCTTGAAAAGCATGAGAATCATCTAGGTTTCTTATCTTCCCTATTATCTTAGCATCATCAGCAAACATGTTCATATAATTCTGTATTTCCACTGGTAGATCGTTTATGTAGACAATGAACATTACCGGTGCAAGAACTGAACCCTGTGGTACTCCACTTGTGACATTCCTCTAATCCGATACATTGCCTCTGATTATGGCCCTCATTTTTCTGTCAGGAAATTTTTCATACATGTTAGAAGCTTACCTGTTACCCCTCCAATATGTTCCAGTTTCCAGACAACCTCTTATGGGGAACTCTGTCGAAAGCCTTTTTTAGGTCCAGATAGATGAAGTCAACCAACCATCTCTTTCCTGTAAAATCTCTGTGGCTCGATCATAAAAACTGAGTAAGTTTGTTACACAGGATCTTCCAGATTGAAAACCATACTGTCTGTCTGATATTATATCTTTTTTCTCTAGGTGTTCTACCCATTTAGTTTTAATTATTTTTTCCAATATTTTGACTATTACACTTGTCAATAATACAGGTCTGTAATTAAGGGGGTCTTCCCTGCTTTCACTTTTGTAGATTTTAACTATGTTAGCCTTTTTCCACACATCAGCTACAACTCCTGTAAACAGGGATGCCTGAAAAATCTGTTTAAGTGGAATGCTGAGCTCAGGTGCACATTCTCTCAGAACCCATGGTGAAACTTCATCTAGACCAACTGCTTTGTTTTTACTTAGCTCCTTGAGCATTTTTTCCACTTTGTCTCTAGACACCTCTATGTGTTCTATGTTGTTCTCTAGAATTCTTATTGTGTCTGGTTCCCTGAAGATTTCATTTTGTACAAACATACTTTGGAACTTTTCGTTTAATGTTTCACACATTTCATTTTAATTTTCCGTGAATTTATTTCCCATTTTCAACCTTTAAATAGTATCCTTTACCTGCAATTTGTTGTTTATGAATTTATAGAATAGACCTGGTTCTATTTTACATTTGTCTGCAATCCCTTTTTCAAAATTTCTTTCTGCCTCTCTCCTCACTGTCGTGTAGTTGTTTCTCACATCTTTGTATCGCTGGTATGTTTGGGGGTTTGGCCTCTTCCTGTATTGATTTCATTTTTGTGTCTTTTGGTTTCTGGCCCTCTCGCAATTTCTGTTGAACCAATCCTGTTTCCTAGTTCTGCATCTCTGTTTTGGTATAAATTTTTTGTGCCTTTATCATATATTTCACAAAACTTGACATACATCTCATTCACTTTCTTGCCTAGCAACAAATCTGTCCAATTATACTCACTAAAAAATTTACTAAGGTTGCCATAATGTCCTCTCCTGAAGTTAGGTTTTTCAACTGCTTCAACCTTATTTTCTTTCAGATTATAACACACTGCACACTTTATTCCCAAAAAGACATGGTCACTTGTACCCAAGGGAGGAAGGTACTGAATGTCAAATATCTCTTCCTCCTTCCTGGTAAATATCAAATCTACCATGGCGGGAACATCCCCCTTCCCTCATCCTTGTAGCTTGTTTAACATG